CAAAACCAGAAAAAGAAGATAAATATAATTAACAGCAAGCCTTCTTTTAAAATTCATCCAGGTTCCATAGCTCTCGCATGTCTCTCTTCATCAGGTACTTCTCCTCCTGAGGTTATTTAGCTTTCACATGGTGATTCATTCTGTCTAAGGTCTGTCTTTTAAGGCTATTCTGAAAACAAGATCTGTCAACTTAAAACATGTACATTAACAGCCAGACTGATAATGGCCACCCTCCTATCCCTTCCCTGAACTACTGAAAAACTGATCTACAGAACACAAAACCTCTTCAGAAACCAGTGACACATGAAAGCTGGACTCTGCAAGAAAATGGAAGTGACATAAAATCACATCTGAGGATTCTTTGGCACAGTAGGTTATATGCCACTGTATGTGAATCTAAATAAGACAGGTGGATGCCATCCTAAAAAAAGGCAACAGAAAACAGAAAGGCATGGAGAGTAGAAGGAGAGAAGAGATGCAGACCTGGAGTTTAATAAAAGGCACTCAGGGGACTTGAGGAAAAAAAACCAACCCCACATCTTGTTCTTGATGTCAGGACACATTCTCCAGCACTCCGACTGAAGGGGTCAGAGGAGACTGCTTAGCTAGAGAAACTGCTGAAGAAGCTTAAGGTGATCTTCAGTATCCTCTGTACCTACTGCATTGCTGATATTCAGAGAAGAGAGTAAAAGCATAACTAGGTAACAAAGAAAAGGAAGATTCAAAGCCTGAACCAGATATTCAAACACAGAAATGTAACAAATAGTCTGTGTTAAAATGTGAGTTGTTTACCTGCTGAGACTGAGGCTAGTCTGACAGATAAAAGGAGCTTTAACTAAGGGCAAGGGCTTAATTTTTATAACCTGCTTAATAGCGAGAAGATACAAAAGAAAAATAAAGAAAACAGTAAAAGGGAGACAAAGCAACCAAAACACACCCCCAAAAACCCAAGAAACAAAATGTTAACATAATGATGGGAGTCAGGCAGGTGACAAGGAGAAAGGACTATTGTTGGAATGAAATCATATTAGATTGATGTAAAACAGTTCAACTGATTGTCAACTAAGGAAGAAGAAAATTCAGATTTCTTTCATTTGCTGTCAGAATTTTCTTGTCTTTGGATATGAAAAAGCATTTTCAGCTGTACTTGTACAACTGAAATTAATGTCTTAAGTGCTGAAGTTGCAAGGTAGGATCCTAAAATCAATCAGGCACTATTTTACTAAACGTATTTCTTAAGTACAATCAAATGGCTTTATAGCTCCTTGGCTGCCTTGCATATAAAGGGACATTTATTCCCAGTGGTCTTTACACTTTCCTAAAGCAAGTTTTTTACATTAAGCATGTGCAAATCAGAACTTACTGTGCTTGTCCACATATGTGTACATTATGAACCCATCTGCAACATATATGACTATTGTTCCTTCAAAGCAACTTTTAAACATAGACTGCAAATAACAGGAGGGTGAATGCATTCATGACCATGTAACACGACCATAAAAACACTGTTTCGTATCTCTTTTATGTCATAAATAATAAAACGAATTAATGCCTTCCAAAGCACTTGAAGCACAAGTCTTAAATCCCCAGGAGAAATTTTCATTTAAGTTTTACATGAATGCAACTTCTGTTTCATCTTCACACTAAAATCACAGCTTTTCATCTCCTCTGGACATCCACTAATCTCTATCGGATCACTGTAAGATAATATGGCAAAAGTTCTCAGTAGAAAATTAAGCTTTAGTAGAGAAACTTGTCTTCATTTTCCCAAGTACTAAAACCATTTCAAAACCCAGATTAAAACTACATGCAATGGTTACATCTTCCAAATATCTTTCATTCTTTTAATGAATTCAGGTTCACGCATACATTTATAACTTGCTTTCAAATTATAATAGACGGAATCTCTAACATACCACAACTTAGGAATCTTTGAAGTATGTACTGTGAGAAATGATATAAAGATAACAGATAAAGTATTGCAAATATATATTTGCATATAAAATAGATCAGGATAACATTATACTAAATTATGTAGCATTATTAAAGCAAAAAATCTATTGCTTTTTTCATCTACCAGCTCAGCAAGCTTGACATGGGAAACAAATATCAATCTGCATTTCTTGCTTCCCTGTTTTCATTCCTAGAATCTAGAATAAAGTCTCCTTGTCAAATCTCAGCAGCAGCAATAAAACTTGTTGCTTTCAGTGGCTTTACAAAGTATTTATAACTGACTGTGCTTTTGTCAGCAATTAGACCTCCATGTGTAACTCTGTTTATAGATGAAGAAAATTTGTGAAGAATGGTTAGTATTTATTTCAAAAACCCAATGTATTTACTAAAACATCTAAATAACAAAACTGTAAAATAAGTTTTCATTGATTTGATGTAATCTGTTTTGGCAGAGATGCAGAGCAGACTCACTGCACAAAAACTGAGACACTTTAATTTGTCCATGTTAATGCAGAAGCAGTCAAAAGAGTTTTGGGACATTAATTGTTTTCTCCCAGAGCTATTCTGCGTAACACTAAAAATCAACAAAACATCTTAAATGTAAGAAAATACTATTTTTAACCTGTCTCATGGCACTTTATGCAAGTATGACATTACTTTAATGACTTTTGTTTTAGAAATAGGTAATACAAGTGTTTCATCATTGTGAAGGTCTTCTAACAGGTCTTGGCAGAGGAAAAGCAAATCAGAAAGATTTGTAACAACCTAAAAGTTAATGCATTTACATGATGAATATATGTAAGTGCAGGATTCCCAATGAGAAGTGATAAACTACCTATAAGGCATGAGAAAGCAATAGTAATAGCCTCACTAGGTATTGAACCTGTCTGCATTGCTTAGGTCAGGTTTTTTGTGCACTCAACAGAAGTATAGCTATACTGTGCTGTTCATACAGTTTGGGTGTTTACTGTATGTGAGATATATTTGTTAAAGAAATGCCTGTTCCAAAACAAAGTAGCATTTCAAGTCTTTTAAATTTGCTATTACAACAAACAGAAGTAGCTTCTACACGGGAATAGGTATCAAACCTTTGATAAGTTTAAAGGAATAATTTTAAGTATTCTAATTTTTGTGTCTAGACCCTGAGATGCTATTAATGACCACCTCGAAGGTCTCAGTGTTTTGTACTGTCCCTTAGAGAGGCTTAAAGTCAGTCTGTACCAGCTATGAGTTTTATGTGAACACCCTGTTATCAGAACATCTAATTGTGCTTTAACTGAAGAACTTTGTGTAAGAAATAAGCATCATACAGAATAATTTAGTGGCTTTATAGCTCAGAGGATTGCAAACTACTTCTACTTGTTGAAATAAACAGTATTCACAGCATTTTAGTCTATCTTTAGACCTGCAATATTGTGTTTTGATGTAAGACTTTATGAGCTTAAAAATTAAGTGCATTCAGCTTTGGTACAATTTTGGCCCATGATGACTTCAATAATTTACATGTAACTGGGTCTGATGTTTTATAGCAATATGAAAGCTATTTTTATGATATTGGTCCTGAACAACAACACCCTGGATTTGCCATTAGTTAGAGCCACATTTTCAGGCTAGATTTTCTAGGATGGTTGACAGAATTACCAAGTGGACTAGCAGATTTTACTTTGTGCACTCACTTGCCAAGAAAACATAACTTTTTTGTCCTTATCCCTTCTCAGGTAAAGATAAGGAGTACGTGTCTCTTCCTGACAGCAAAACAACAATTTAAAAATTAATTTGAGAAAAAAGTAGAAAATAAGGGGAAAAGAATATCTCAAAAGCCAACAAGGTGCAAAATGATGACAGACACTGTGCCAGGTTAAGAAACATACTTCTAATATAGGGCATGGCAACTGCACTAGAATATCCACTTCAAAAATCATGGCAAGCGAATAGCACTAAGAGAACAACTTGAGAAATAGGAACACTCTCTAAGAATAATCAGTTAAAGCCTCTTTGGATGCAGCTGACAAAATTTGAGGCTTTCTACTTTCCATTTAGCTTTGAAAAGACTGATATCTAAAACTGAAGATCTACTTATATATTTGTTTTAGAAATAAATGTGTATCTAAATTACGCAATGTAATCTCCACTTTTGTAACTTCACACATACATCATGGAGAAGGCAGCACCATTTTCCCACAGAAATCACAGAACACTGAAAAAGTGAAAGATGTGTAATTAAAGTGTTTGAAAAGCAAAGGGATCACTCTATACACAGTTTCCAAAGAGATAGAAATCTTCTACATGAAAAGAAAAATGATACACACCTACTTTAAGAATTTGAATCTGCCCCAAACACCTGCAGTGCTACTCATGCCTGCCCGGACAGACCTGCGCTACAAAACCCATTTCCAAAAATGTAAAGTTTCTAAAAGATCTGTGTTTTTCCCCTGAATAGGAAATATATCAAAAGAAAAGAAATACAAAACTAATCTTCCAGACAAAGAACAGGAAGAAAACTGTCACGTTCTCTGGTTTACATTTATAACAGGACCCTATCTAGAGATTAGAATAGTTTCAAATCTATTGTAGTCGAGGATATGATGTCATCATTTAAAGGACGCAGATAATTTAGTCCACAATATCTATTCATACCAACAAAAGAAAGCAAAATGGGGTATGTGGAATACTTAACATACTCCACTCTCCTGGATTATTCTTCTTTCGCATGGATCCATCATCCATGTAAGAGTATGTAAGTAGACGTTTTCCCCCCCAAAGCAATCTGCTAGTTTAACTTTTGTGGAAGCACAAGTAATTTCAATTCCATTAGGTGCACACATTAGACTGATTGATTTTCCCTCTCTCTAGGCAATTTCTGAATTTTTGGTGAAGCTTATTTTTAAAATACCCAAAGTGATACTTAACACACTCCGTTCACATGACCTTACAACATGAAAAACATGTGAATTTGTTACAGAAAAGCTGAAGAAACTATCAGGTTTCCCAAAAATAAACAAACAATCAACACAAAATATTCAAAGTCAGTAAGTTAGTCTTCTTACCTTGTTCTTTTATCTGACGAATCTGCTTCACAGTTTCTTTCAAGATTGCACATTTGTCAGGTTTAAAGTTAAAGTTGTCAATATCGTTAAAATTTGCAAAAATCAGCTCTGCAAGTTCTTCTATGTATTTATTCTCTTGCTCACGATTGCGTTTCTCAGTGCTTCTTTTAGGGCTGAAAGAGGAGTTTACAAAAATGTCATCTTTAATGTCAGTCTGCTTGCCTTCTGGCCAGCTCAAAGACGATTTCAAAAGGTCTGAAAGCAGTTTAACAAAAACAGAGGGAGAACTGCCCTCTCTCACTACAAAAATATAACTTATAAGTTTCTCAAGCAGAAAGGTTTCCTCTGGAACAAGGAAAGGAGCACTTGAAAAGATGTTACTTATTTTTTCCCAGCATTCATGTTTTTGATTCAAAAGAGTCATGGGACTTGAAATTCAAAACAGAAGATTAATTGGGGGGTGTGGAATTTGAACATTTACAAGTATTCCTCTCCACAAGGAGTATCAAAAACTACACTGTATTAGAAAATAAAACAGTTTAAGAAGTTAAACCAAGGATTCCATACTCCCTACCTCCTTGTGAATTTAGGACAGACAGTCGTAAGAAAAAATGATGAATGAGTGGCTATGCTTTAAAATTTATTTGTGTTGGTATCCCAACTGTGGTAAAACTGAAAAATATTTTTCAAGACCCTGATTATGATGTACAAGAGAGGTGGTAAAAAAATCTCAGACCGTCAAAATGAGTGACTGAAGACTTCTTGCAGTGACTAGCCAAAAAAGATTTTTACATGTACCCTAAGTCTTCACCAAACTTCTTCATTTTGACACGACACCGGACTCAAAATAAACAAACAAACAATAATAAAAGGAAATAGCCCATAATCCCTATCCCAAACGACTCAGAATTACTAGATCAAAGTAGTTTGGCACTGACTTCTCTTTGGGATAATATTGGTTGACATTTTCCAACAAAAACATATGGACATAAAACATTCTTTGAAGTTGTTCTCTCTCAGCATCTTCAGCAGCAAATGGTCTAACCTGGGTCCAAGCTGATCGGGATCCTTGCGCTTTCTTGACTCTGCTCTGGATGGGTCAGAGGTATTTTCTCCCATCCCACTCATCTTGAACACATATCAGCAACTAAAAGGAAAAAAGAGCAAGAAAAGATTATGGTGGAAAAGTCATGAGTTCTCTGTTCATACTTCCAAGTTTCACATTCCATACTCAACTCAGATTTTACTTAACAGATCTATCATTTGGAACGGAGTTTGTTCCAAAGGTACCAATAAAAACACTGTGTTTATGGCCCCACAAAATTCTACATAGAACTCCTTCAGAAGAAAATTTGTGGTGGGCAAGCAAAGCTTTATCACCTCTTTGATTGTTGCCAGTTATGTAAGAACAGATAAGTACGTTTTGTGCCTCAGCTGCTGAATTTTCATGGCAAATTTGCAAGGTTGAATGAGGAAAGATAAAGGAAAAGCCTTAGTGCTATACAACAAGAAAAACATAACAGAACTGAAATATACAAAATAAAATATGTGTCCCAGCTACATGAAAAGGTAGAAGCTTTAGTTAAAAATCAGAAGATAATGCTTGCACAAGTTCATGCACAGAGTCATAGAAACAGAACATCTGTCAACACTAGAGATCACTGAGGAACTGATAAATATTTTGTACATATAATCTACCTCATAAGGAGTATAACTTGTCAAGCTATCGTGTATTAAAATAATACAGGCTTATAATTTGTGCAATAAACAGTCTGTGGAAATCCTGCCCTGCTCCAGGCTGCCTGTGGCCTATGCACACGAAACTTGCCAGCCCCAGATTACATACTCCTCAATAGCTACCAATATTCTGGAGGCAGAAATCACTATTACAAATGACACAGGGAGATGATATAAATGATCAAACAGCTCATGAAAGACAGTTCACCATCTGCCTAGCTGCTGCCAGTTTTGTCTGGATGATGGCAGCGAGATATTGCCAGACATTTCTGAGAGCTCCTGTATTGTTTGGGATTAGCAGAAAAATAAACATGAAGGCCATGAAGGAGGTGAGTGTAACCAGGAGGTGATTCATACCATGCTAAAATAAGAGCTGGAGCCTGTAATTCTATAACTGCTACACACTGGCATATAGTAGAAATCGGGTATCAAAACAAGGGGCTTCACCATCCCCTTCAAGCCCTTAATTTCTGTCCCACCAGTTCCCTTCCCTCTGCTGGCCTGGTCAGCCATGCACTGAACTGAACGAGGAAAATGCTGGGAGTTAAAACACAGTCCCCTTCTCTTTTGCTTTTTGACACTTTTTAAAATCTAGCAGCCAGACTACAGGTTGGTAATAGGATGTTCACACTGGAAATCTTAAGTTTTCCCAATGAACTAACTGAATGAAGATATTGCAGGTAATGGCAGAAACAGCCCACAGACTAGGGTCCAAGCAGTCAGGCAGGGATGCTGAGAAAGACTACTCATTGAAACCTGATCAAGCAAATGAAGGCTTGGAGCCATCAGCACCTAACATTTTCCTAAACTTAACCCCCTCTCTCCAAACAAAACAACAACATCAACAACAAAAATCCTTTCTTTGCACTGTAAGTATTTTCTTAACCAGTTTGAGGAGAAAGTGCAGTGATTTTCCTTTTTCTATATATTGGTCAAGTTCTGTGGAAAAGACTGAGATCACGCCTGAAACATACAGCTTCCAGCTGGTCTTTGACATGGATGGTATCAGATTCTCTTTGAAAAGTATCTGGATTGTCTTTTCTCTATTGAGTCTATACATATATGCATACATGTACATACAAGCTGCCATCATTTTGAGAAGAACCCACTGTAAAAGAGCAAGAAAGCCCTGGTTCTGTGGCAGAGCAGAGCAGAGCTCTCAAAGGGAAAATGTAGCATCACAAACTCCATCATTCTGTACTCGCTGAAGAAATTTCAGTGACCCTAGCAGGGCATTCACAGAGACACACCAATGCCTACCATTCTGAAGAGCACAAAACATCTACTGCAGTCTGGCTGTCCATTAACAACTACATATCTTCACCAATTTCTAGCCTCAGCAAACATTTACATCCTAATGTATCCAACTACAGAAGTAGATATATACATCCATCTATTAGGAGCTAACCAATTTCTTGAAAATATGCAATTTCACAAGTATCACAAGTAGACCTCCAAGGAAGGAGCAAGACACTATGAAGGAAACTACCACAATAATTAAAGAGAAGCTGCGAGGAGACAGCAGTTCCATGTCTGTCAGTGGAGACCTGGAACTATCCTTGGGGCACTGTTCCAATGACTAATTTTTCACTGATCAGTGTGAGAAAAAAATCATCAGCATGATGAAAGCTGTACAATCCCAAGATTTAATCTCTAAGCCAGACTCAGGTGGTGACCCAAAGTTCAGAAGAACAATTAGTCTGGGGAATCCCTTCATTTCTTATGCTTCCCAAGTAATACAAGAGAAATGCAAACCAGTTAACTATTTTTCTTGAGAAAAGCAAGCTCAACAACCCATGAAAACCTGTCAAACATTCAACTGTCATCTTCTGTCCCTGTGCCCCCCCATACCCACCCCCCCGCCCTGAGTAGTAAGAAGGTAAGCATTTAGGGTGGATACCTCCCTACAATTCCCCTTCCTCCTCAAGAGAGCATATAGGAACAGTTACTGGCAGATTTCCCACCTAGTCTGTCAGGCTTAATTCAACAGGAAGTTTTATTTATGCGGGAAACAAAGCTTCACCAGGAGTTCCATCAATGCATAGGCTCAATTCTTCTTGCATTCACACAGATGCAACTCTGCAGGAATTCCACTAGGTCTATGGTTATCAGCCTTTGGAGGACGCATTAAAACTCATCTCTCACCATAAACTGAGCTTCATCCTTCTATATCAAAGGGAACAAAAGTGGTATCATAATTACAAAACTGGTACCTTCCTCTCCTTACTCAACTCAGTAAATGTTTCTAAACAAATAATTTCAGTATTTATTTTATTTTGTTTGCACTTATAGGCCATTACACCTTTTTCTCAGCAGAATTATCAGTTTGTTCTTATAATGAGTTACCCATTTCTGTTTAACTCATCCTAAATTTTTGGGGTTTTTTGGAAATCTACCACCTGCTACCATGCTTGCTTTCTGTTCTCCCTTATGTCTTAATTAAAAATCATGTTCTATACCTCAAAGATCTGTACAGGCTGTGTAGTTCCAGTGTTGGTGACTGTGCTTCAGAGCAGAATGCAAAATCCAGAGCTGGGTGTCTTGGAAATCAGAGAACTAGTCAGATGATACTAAGGCAATCTAAAAAATGTCAAAGGCTAAAATAAAAGTCACTCATCTGTATCTCATACTCAGTACCAAAATCCAAAGGATGTGCTCCCAAACCTTGTCTCCTTAGGGATTTAGGGGCTGATGGGGATAGTTAAAGTTCTGCTATTCTACTGGGATTCAGAAACTGAAATCCACTCCTTAGTTAGGAGAAATGAGGAGGAACCAATTTTGTGGATAGACTTTTCCATAATACTACCTACAAACTAAACCAGAATTTTAGACACAGAAATAAACGTATGTGGATCAGGAGCAGGTAAACTGCATATAATGCTTTTTAGGTTCTGCCTCCATATACATTAATTCATCTATATCTAAATTTATTGCTTATTAATTATTACTAAGTTTTATAATACACAAACATTCCTACCATTACATCAACTAATACTTTAACAAGGCAATTTAGTAACTTTTAAAGTTGTTCTAAATATTCTTAGGCTCCTGAACCACTCAGACAATTTCTCAGACCAGAAAATAAAACTCCCAAATGTGAAGTCCGAATTTTTCCAGGAAACAAGACTATTCAAAACTAAAACCACTGCGAGGAGAATGACAAGTCA